TGAAATATAAACCGACAACCTCCATAGATATCTTCATCAATTTTCACTGGTTGAGAAACACTGCTTTGCTCAATAAAATTAAAAAACAAAACAACAAAAATAAAAATTAATGGTTATAAATCTAATACATTGAAAATATTAATAAAAAAAACCATTAATATTACAAAAAATAAAATTAAAAAAAATCAACAACTAAAGCAAAGACAATGGAGAAGATATCTACAATAACCTATAGAATACATACTGATGACCAAGGTTGGCCCGCATGAGCTTTCTTTGTGGCCAGCGACCATCCCAAAAAACATGGAACAAAATTTTTCAATGAATCACATCTTAATTATTGCTAAAAAGGATACATTTCATTAATAATATCATTACTATTAAAAAAAAAATGATGACCTCTTCCTCCAATGTGGCCATTATGAAGGATAAAATAGCTTCGATTCAAATGACTCCAGTCAGATATTAAGCAAAGGGATATGATAAAAAAAAGATAAATAAAATAAAGAAATAATAAAATGAGAAAAAACACAGAAGGATAATGTAAGGACTGGAACACATGGGAGGAATCCTCCAAAACTTGGAAAATAGATATTTTAATTACAAACGACTATAAAGAAAAGAAAAAAAAAATGGTGGGATCTCTGGATTGGATTTGCAAAACATTTATAAAGTCTCTCTCGTATAAAACAACAACAAAAGCAACTTTATACTTTACAAATTGTGATATGACAGATGAAACCTCATTTTTAGACTACTTGTCGATTTTAGGTACAATTGTAAATCCACAAGTATTAGTTTTATTTGAAACAAAAACGTTTTAAATTTTTTTAACACACAATACTTTGCAAATGCTACTGACATATACATATATAAATAATAAAGCTAAAATAAATTAATACAAAAAACTAAATAACAGAAGCTATTGTAACCCTTTAAGAGGAATGTATAATAAAACCTTTAAATATCAAAATCGTTAAAGTTACAATACCTTAGGCTACCAAGATTCTTATATTTATTTATTGAACAATTATTGTTTATTTATCAATAATGTCACTTGAAGATGATCATGTAGTTTTTGAAGCTTTCTAATATTAATAATACGAATCATAGTGAAGAGAAAATTTTAGTTTAATATAAATATAAGCGTCTAACGAATTTTGCTTCAAGAGATACTAGCAAACTTATTCTAACCAGATTGAGATTCATTCCTTAGACTCGCCACAAAATAAATTTTAAACTCCTTAGGCCGGTTAAAACGTTAATATATTCATACCGGCTCGTACCACCCATGGCTCAAATTTGACTGTGCAATCAGGCGGTGCCTAACAAAAAATTTAGATCATTAAGTAGCTAGAAAAACTGCCTTATATTTGAAAATTAAAATAGTGAAAATAAAATGTATGTTAATTGAGAACATTTATTATTGTTAACAATTATAACTAATAATGAAGTGAAGTTGGTTGGGGGTTTCAGTCAGTGAAGAAACAATATAAAAATAAATAAATTATATTTATATCTTCACTGACTGAAAACACCAACCTACTTCTCTTCAATATATCTGGCTACAGTTAACCATCAATCCACTATTATTATAATCAACAATGTATTATAAATATAACTTTAATTCAATAACATAAACATAATAATTCAATATTATAAATATAACTTAGCTAAATGTTCATTTTACGCTTTAGTCGGGGTCCGCCCCAATAGAGTGAAACATGAATTCCAGCGCCGATGTGAACATGTTAATACACTGCCAACAGTTTTACATAAGGGGTATTCATGTTACCAGTATTAAGTATTGTAAAGCTCTTAAATGTGCAAAGTCGAGAAAATTATTTACGAAATTCCTTGTTAAATATGGCCGCTAGCACTCTCAATTTTAACGCTGCTTCAGGTCCTGTAAAGTGCTGCTAACTTTGTAAATGCACGGAAAAGGTTATGGTAAGGTTTTGATGTTTGATTTTTTTTGTCTGTATCCAATATCCACAGAAATGGAATTTAAAGACAGCTAAGATTTTATCTATGTATTCATCATGTTCTTTACCTTCTCAATCATCTGAATCTTAATTCGTACTTTCTAATAAAGCGTTCTTGACCAAATAATCCAGCAACTCAGTTTTTCTACTTTGCGTTGACATTTTAAAAATAAATCGAAACGTTAGCAGATCAATTAAAAACTCACAAACTTTATTTACAGTACAGGCATAGCCTCATTATAACTATTGTAATAACACTTTAGCACTGACAGGTTATTTGCCATTCATTCAAAATTTGTGCTGACTTCTTAGCTTGATAGCACATTAAGCATTTACAACAAGCACATGTATACCACTAATATCTTAAAAATTCTAAATTGAATAATTTTGAAACTTTTTAATCCTATCCAACCTTCAAAATACTGAAACCAAATAATTACCAATTGTATCACAGTATTTTCAAAATATGGGTTGGGCAGCATTAAACACTAAATATTAAGTGTGTGAATATACATTGAATATAAAGTAACATTGAATATACATTAGTGTAAAAAAAAATTGTGTTTTTTTTTTTTTTTTTTTTTTATGCTGCACTAATTATAATGGTGTTATATTAATAACAATAAAAGGCTTAACTAAGCCAAATGTTCAATGGTGATAGTACCAATTGCTGTCTACATACTTCCATCCTTCGACCATCGTACAAACCCAATCTCACAAGATCATCCATAATGTAATCCTTCCATCTTCTCTACGACCAACTGTGTACCGCAAGAACAACAATTTGCATATCTTTTATTAAAATAAAGTAAATGTACTAAAATAAAGCACTAAAACTTGAGCTTTAAGTTCAGCAGTTCTCAAAATACAGTTGTTGTCAAAAAAGGAACTTTTCCCCCTAAAAACAAGTAATCACTATTTTGTGGTTTAATTTTTAAAAATATCATGAAACAACTATTTCTGCAAGAAAGATCAATAATATAAACACATTTAAAGTGAATTTAACTAGTCATATTTTATAATATGCCTAATAATCATAATTTTCTCAAGAAGACCAATTTTCATTGAATATACGTTAGTGTCAAAATTGTGTATTTTTTTTTTATGCTGCACTAATAATAATTGTGTTATATTAAGAACAATAAAAGGCTTAACTAAGCCAAATGTTCAATGGTGATAGCACCAATTGCTGTATACATACTTCCATCCTTTGACCATCGTACAAACCCAATCTTACAAGATCATCCTTAATGTAATCCTTCAACCTTCTCTCAGCTTAATGTAATCCACCCACCTTCTCTAAGGTTTTCCCACCAGACATTTAACATTCGGCAAAGAGCTTATTAATATCTTAGGGATTCTTTCATTTTTAAACCCAACAAATTTCCACGTCTATTTTATTTGCTGCGGAGCTATCACCTCAATTATATTTACCAAGAACAGCTCACACAATATGACATTGTGTAGCCGTCTAAATTCTCAGGTTACTCGTCCTTCTTCAGTCCAAATATTTTGCACAACACAGTCTTTTAAGGTATTGTTCATCCCTTAATATAAGCAGCCACACTTTGCATCTGTAAAGAACCGTAGGAAAAATAATAGTTTTATAAATTCTAACTTTTAACTTTCAGGACAGAAGGCAAGCTGCATGCTCCACATAAATGATTAATTAAAACAGAGAACAGTGTGTGTGATGCTGAAGACTTGGTGACACGCCATGAAGAAGACGTGGAGGAGCAGGAATAGAATATTGAAGTAGACATTGTGGCATACTTAAGGAAGAAAAGTAATGAGTGAAATTGTTCACCTTCTAACTGAATGTATTATATTTCATTCATACTATATTCTACTAACGTTATCTATTGTGTTTCAATGATATATATTGAAAACATAACTCTTTGATCTTATAACACAATAATTTATTCTTCATAACAATATGATTATTAGTAATGAATTATCAATTCCTTTAGTATTAATATTTATTTTAATTACTTTAGTGCAGCATAAGAAATAATTTAACACGATTTTGGCACTATGCAACATTCGTCAATAATGAGCTGTTTTGAGAACATTTTGATATGTTAATAACTATCAGACATACTGATGTTCATTTCCAGGATATTTAACAATATGAAATCACCCGATTTCCTGTTGTTTTTAAAAAACAAAATGGTCTTTTTTAAAAATGTATTTCCGGAACTACTGAACATACAGAACTAAACTGTTAGCACAATTTTCAATAAATGTAAAGTTAAGCACATTGTTTTTCCTGGAATTGGTAGTTTTAATGATATTTATCATGGAATAGAAAAAATCCTTTTTTCACATTTTTAGCAATAAAACTTAATTTGATTCTTCAGTCCCAACATTCATTTATTCTCTTATCCTAAATGCCTATATTAAACTATTTTTTTCACAGGTTCAATGTAGAACGTATAAAAAAATAATGTAAAAAGTTATGAAGATTTTTTAAGGTTTTATTAATTTTAGATGCTGATGAGAAGAAAACAAAGCATACCTAAATAATAACAAATAACTATAAGCACTATATATTTTGCTGTTAATTTTTACCTGTGGACAAAGTTGTGGAAGGGAAATAAGATATTTAAGTCTTGATGAATATACTAATTTTTTTTAAACAAGGTAAAGGCAGACATAATTTAATGTTTAACACAAAAATTTGTGTGTAAAGTGAACTTTTGTGTAAATAATTCATTTAAAAAAATATATATCTCTAAGCAGAGGTTTCATTGTACTATCACACAAAACATTTAGTTTGATCTGTGATATAATAAATAACTAAGCAACATTAATTTTTTTTTTTTTTTTTGTTTAATTCTATTTCAATAAAATTAACACATAACATTAAATATAAATCACATAACATCTGCATACATGCAATTGAAAAAATAAAAATAAATAAATAAAGCCTAGGAATAAAAAGGAGTAAATATAAAATTTACTAAAATATGTATGTATATCCCAACATCAGAGAGACATTACATCGAAACTCACCATTGCAACATAATTGTATTTATGAATGATCTTCCTGATAACTTTAAATTCATCCTTCAGATTATGAGCCCATACATCGCGAATGCCGCATTCTTCATTACTTGGGATGACCCCACTGTGTCCTGTAAATGATGATAAGTTAAGAATTAATCCAGATTATAGATGAAAATAAACTTGAAATGTGTTGAAAATTAAAAGATTATAGCACAAAATATTTTTAGTCCGACAAGAGTGCCATTGATAAAGGAGGTCGCTATAATTAGGTATTTTTATTTGGTTAAGCATTGGGCAGTGGTATATATAAAAATTGTAATTTTCATATCGAGAGGCATTATAAAGACCTCTTTGAAAGCGAAAATCTCTGCGGGTGTGCGGATTACGAACAGTGTGCCCCGATGCCAAATTTGCTGTCCATTAAGATAGAAGCTGTCAGGAAAGCCATTAAGTCAACATCAATGGACACATCGCTGGTGCCTGATGGAGTTCTGATCTGCACAATCAAATATTTTGACTTATCAAAACGATTGCAGAGATAATGCTGAAGGTGGCCTATGTCCCAGAACCACTTCGACAAGGGCGCACAATATTAATATATAAGGGGAAAGGTGACGCAAACCATATCTCTACCTGGAGACCCATCACCATATATTCGATTGTGCACCGAATCATAGAGAAGGTTCTGGACCACGAATTAAGAAAGCAGGTCACCTTCCTTTTTTTTTTTTTAATCTGGTTACAATGTGAAAAGGTTAATTATTTCAAATAAAAAAATTAAAGGAACTTTAGAGGAAGAAATTTTGAAAATAAGGCATTTAAGTCCTGTTAGAGAACATCATTGAGAATAGTACAACATTATATTAAAAACTGCTTAATTTTCCACTGATAGAATGAATTTAATCAAAATTGTTAAGAGCCATTTTTGAGAAAATTGTAAAAATATGTAAAATTGGTGATATAAAGTGGCACTACTGGTTGGTAGATTGTAATGAAGAAGTTGCTGTAACATTCCAGCTTTATACAAACCTTAAATATACAATTTCAGTTTCGTAAAACTTTGTTTTAGTGCTATACTGTTCACACATGCACAGACCATTTTTGAGAGACTTTGTTATTTGGACTCAGGGGACCTCAAAACATGTATTTCTGTTGAAACTGGGTTTAAAAAATTTTCATGATTGCAATACTTTCCCTTACTATATATTTCATATATAAATAAGTGGAAGTAAAAATTTATTTAGAACCAAAAAAAGCAAGTAAATTCAATAGTCATCAACCTAAAAAATAGGTTAAATTTCACAATCATTAATAGAGAATAAATATTAATGATTGTGGCATTTTTTGTGATCTTTTTTCATATTTAAAGATGAATTAAAAAGTCAGAGTATATCTGAACTATAAATTGTTAACTATTATCTACATATTAATGTTAACCTTCTACAAAGTGATGGTTTCTTATAATATTTTGAATAGAAAATAGCAGCCTCATGATAGAGAGAACATGACCAACAATTATTTTAAGAATTGAAGGCGTATCTCTGATTTTATCGATTCATAACTGAAAATGTTTTATCTTTATGTAATTAGTAAATCAGCACTTTAATTAAAAAAGACAAATAGATTTTTCAATGTTTGGATTTGAGTATTAATCTAACTAGAGATCAAATTTGTTAACATTATAAAAATTAAGTTAGATTTAAGCATATTTGAATCTGTCAATAAAATATTCATGTAATAAATTTGAGAAGGCCCAAGAGGATTCGGCAGGGATTCCAAAGAAACTTCGAGTAAGGATAGAGGAACACTTTAACAGATGAAAGACAATATTGAGAGAAGTTACCATTGAAGAATGGAACAGGAGGATTAGTCATAATCTTTAACGTGGCTACCTTAAGGAAGTATTTTCCCACCGTCCAGCCTCTACTAGCTCCCAGATGAGTACAATCTAACTACTGGGTCTCCCAATTCCTCACCGGACATCAGGTTGTTTTGTGCAAAGTTACACAATCTTGGAAAGCATGTCAATCCTCTAAGCTCCAGTTGTGGTGTCCTGGAAACCGCTGAACATGTAATCACTAACTGAACTGCGTTTGAGACACTAAGGAACAAGCTAAAGAGAAGAATTGGTCTCTACAGCCACAACTAAGATTTCTCTCTGCTTGTCTCTGCACTTCAATTCTTAACTACCCTTACCAGGAAGCCTTCATATATGGATGGAAGGAAATAGTAGCCGCAGCCCTTTTCAATATAGAAGTAAGGTGAAAATATAGAAACTCCCACAATTTCAATTCGAGGTGACTGCGGAATAGAAATTTAGTTAAAGAAATTAAATTTTATTGTTTTTATACAATAAAATTAGAATCCCATATTGTCGAAAAGCAACGGACAGAGAAGGAAATAAATAAATGCTTCAAACCAACAAAATAATTGGATATGGTTTTTTTTTTTTTTTTTTTCACTTACATTTATTTATCCGCACCTGTCAATTATTATTGACAATCAGCAGATGTGCTGGCTTAGTAATGAGAGAAAAATAAAATAAAATAAAAAATAAATAAATAAAAAAGGCTTGATAGGCATGAGGAATAGCAATACCCAGCGGAGCGGTATCCCTTCCATGGCTTTTATTTACTAACATTATTTAAGCAGATCCCTCATCCAGACCCTTTTCAGTCGTCTTCTGGAGTTCTCGGGCATACTAGTTGTGGCCATTTCTTTTACCAGCTGGTTGGAGTGCCCGTTTAACATGTTATGAAATCGTTTGTAGTACGTTCGTATGTGTTCATTGACTGTCGGAACGTGTAGGTCGGTGTGTAAAGTGTGATTGTTTACTGTTAGTATCTTAGACTGAAAAGTTTGAAGTTTATTGATGTGAGTTGGTTTTGCAATTCCGTATATTTGTAGTCCGTAAGTCCAAAGAGGTTTTAAAAGATAGGTGTAAATACTTAGTTTCTGTCTTGCTTTTAATTTGGAAGGTCGTCTTAACAGTGTATGTAACAATTTTAGTCTTAGATTTAATGTGATTCGTTTTTTCTTCACATGTGGACCCCATGTCATTCTCCTATCGAACGTAAGGCCTAGGTATTGTACTCTGTCTGTTTGTGGAATCGGTATGTTGTCTAAGTATACAGGAGGGAATGTTTCTGGTCTTAGAGTAAATGTGATGTGCTGTGACTTTTGATAATTTATTTTAGTTTTCCAAAGTTTACACCAATCGAGTATAATTTGTAAGTGATGTTGTAAGTTAAGTGATGCCTCTGTAGGATTGTCGTGCCTGGTAATGATAGCAGTGTCGTCTGCGTAGGTTGCTGTAAGAGTGTGGATACTTTGAGGAATGTCGTGTGTGTATGTGATGTACAGTAGTGGGGCTAGGATTGATCCCTGAGGTACACCAGCTAAAACTGATCGAATTGAGGATAGACCTTGGCCATGTCGAACGGAGAAAAATCTATCTGAGAGAAAGGAATGGAGAATTAAGTAGTAAGTATGTGGAAGTATGGTCTTAAGCTTGAAGAGAAGCCCCTGATGCCATACTTTGTCGAACGCTTGGGTGACATCCAGAAATACTCCGGTTGCATATAATTTCCGCTCTAGTGCTGTAGAGAAGTAGTCAGTCACCCTGTGCAATTGTTGTGTTGTTGAATGTAATTTTCGAAACCCGAATTGATGGTCAGGAATAATCTGTCTGTCTGTTAGTATATGTAATAGTCGTGGGTACAATAGTTTTTTGAATAACTTAGAACATACTGGAAGTAAACTAATCGGTCGATATGAAGAAGGGTTGTTAGTGTCTTTGTTTGGCTTTTTAATCATGGTTATGTGTGAGTATTTCCATTGTATAGGAAATTTAGTGGTCCTGAGAATGCAATTGAAGATTGTGGTAAGAAACACTAGAGCTTTCCTTGGCATTTGCTGGAGCGCCTCAGCAGTTATCAAGTCATGACCAGGGATTTTTCTTTTGGGCAATTGTCTAATTTCTTGTGCAACTTGTGATGGTGTGAAAGGAGGTGGTAGTAGTGTGAGCTGTAGCGGTATGTCTAAGTTATTATGTACAAAAATATCGTGTTCTGTATTAATTAAGTCTGTATGTGGTTTAAAAACAGTGGAAAGATGGTTAGCAAAGAGTTCAGATCTTTCCTCGTCCGAAACAGCCCAAGAGCCATCCTCTCTTCGTAGGGGTGCTGACACCTCACGATGCTTTAAAAGATTCCTTGTATGTCTCCATAAACTTCCATCGTCCGTCGAAAGGTTGTTAATAAAATTGTCGTAGTTTGTGCTTTTGAATTTTTGAATATGTCTTTTAAGTTCGTTGTTCAATCTGTTAAAAGTTTGTCGGTCTGAAGGAAGTCTGTTAGTCTGCCATACTTTACGTGCTCTTCTCTTTGCTCAAATCAAGTCCCTTATGTACATTGGATAATGGGGCAAGTTCGCTGCTTTTTGTGGCCTGGATGTTGATGAGGCCCATGCTGCATCTTGTATGCTTTTTGTGAATTTTTCAACAGCTTCTTCTAATTCCTCATGATTTTTAATTGAACCTGGAACGGAAAGATTGGTGTTCAAATAGTCTCTATATGCGTCCCAGTCCATGCAGCCTTTTATGAGCCTAGGTCTTTTTTGTGTTTCGGAAGGCTCATCGAAGAGAACCATGTGCACTGAGGAGTGATCAGAACAAAGATCGGAGGTTGCATTGACGGAAAATGGTACGGTTCTTAGTCCTTTTGTAATAAAGAAATCAAGTAAGTCGGGAGTTTTGCGTCTGGAGGTGGGCCAATAAGTTGGTGAATTTGGTGTTACAGAGTCTAATGAAAGTTCATGGACGACAGACCAGAGATTTCTGCCTCTTGGAGTACTCAGCCTTGATGCTTAGCATTATAGTCTCCACCTGCGATGAAGCATCTTCCGAGGCGTTTGAAGAACTCAGAAAACATCGTGGGTGTAAGCTTGTACCTAGGGGGACAGTAAACTGAGGCAAATGTTATAGTGTAGTATTTAGTGTATAGTGTTATTCCTGTCGATTGTATGTCGGGTGTAATGGTTAAGTCTACGGGATTGTGTTTCAGTGAATTTTTGACGAGTATAGCTGTTCCTCCATGTGCAGTTTTATCTGGGTGATCAGTTCTGTAAATTGTGTAATCCTGGATGTAAATTTTTGATCGGGATGTCAGGTGTGTTTCTGTGATGAGTGCTACGTCGATTCGTTTTTCATGTAAGTATAAGTCGAGTTCAGTACTGTGCTGTTTCAGTCCGTTGGCATTCCATAGAAGAACTGACAAGGAGCCTACAGTTAAATTATTGTGGGCCATAATTTGGGCACCAGACCTATGTAACCTGTGACAGTTGTTGAAGAAGAATGAAAAGGGGCTGGATTAGGTTATTTAATCCATTAATTATATTAAATAATTGAGAAGAGCCATTATCTACCGGAGGTATCGGTTGGGTAATGCCTCTCCTCGTACCTGTACATGTTTTCTGGTTCGGGGGTGCTGAAATAGATGATGTTTGGTTTTGTTGTTGCGGAGGTCCTGCGATGATCTGTGGTTCCCCTTGGTTGTGACGTTGCCGTATTGGAGGGAATTTATGCAGGCCTGGAGGTCCCTGCGCTGGCTCTGCTACTGTGGAACGCTGAAGACGATTTCTTGCATTGCGCTGAAACCTGAGATCTTTCAGCGTCTGGCAGCCTCTGTAATTAGCGGGGTGCTGACCGGCACAGTTGGTGCATTTCGCGGGGGTGTCTCTCGTTTTCAAACATGAGCTGGTTTCATGATATTCACCGCACTTTACGCATCGTGGTCGATGGTTGCAATAAGTTTTAGTGTGCCCATATTGCTGGCACCGAACACACTGAGGAATATTTCTCTTTTGACGCGGTTCCTCAATTTTAATATGTGAATAATAAAGAAATTCAATACTAAAAATTTCTTCTCTAAATGTCTCTTTTGTAATGTCTACAAAGAACATAGGAAGGGGTTTTTTGAATCTAGATATGACGTTAACTACATTGGTGGCTTCGTAACCCAATTTTTTAAATTCCTCTTTAATGATATCGATTGGTGTTCCATGGTGAAGATGTTTAACAACAATCCTTGGGCATTTGTCCTGTGGAAGTTGGTAGGTATGGAAGTCGGCGCCTTTATTTCGCAGGCTAGAATTTAATTTTCGATAAACGTCAGGATTTTCTGGGTACACAGTGACACCTTTCAATGTAGACTTAGTTTTAAACATATTAGGACCCGTTTCGTTTTCTAGAAATGAGATTAATGCATGGTAATTTTCAACACCGTTTATAAAAATTGGTGGAGTTTTATTGTTTTGAGACCGTCTTCTAACTTATTCTGTTTGTAAATTAGTGATGTTGGTTAGAACCTGAAAACTGTTCGAGGTTGGGATAGATTCTGTCGGTCTTTTTTGAGCTCTTGACTCGCTCGAATCTATCATAGGTCTTTTACGACCAATAACCAGTTCCCAGGAGCCGTCTTCATTGTTTATATCACTGTTTTTAAAGTTCATGTTACTTACCTCAGTTTGAGATGATTCCACCATTGTTGGCGGTGAAATCCGCTCAATCTTTGTTTGGTGTTTTGTCTTTAGCAATCTTGTCTTGATAAAACACTTTTGTTATACAAAAATTAGGTATTTACACTTAATTAACACTTTTTTGGAAGACAATACTAAATTAACCTTTCACCTTATTTAACATCAACAGCTGTTCCCAATTGGATATGGTTAAATATTGTTTAAATAATTTTTTCATTTACTTTTGCCTGACTTGATAAATAAAGTGAAATGAAATGCAGCAATGTGAATTTTATCATCCATTCTACAAAATGATAACACACCCAAGAACCACTATACTTCCAACAGCTTCACTGGCTTCTGGAGCAGTCAGGATAAAACAATATCGATATGATGTCATATCTTGAGAGAACTACAATTATATTGCATAGCAGCTGTGTTGAATTGATAAATCTCACAGAATACTCATCAGTCAACAGATATTATTTAAAAAAAAAAAGGCAAAGAGAGTTCGGTGGGACCATTTTAATAAATAGCAAATATGATGAAAACAGTGTACAGAATAATATATGCGAAGGTAAAAGATCAATATATGATAAATATATGTGGTGATGGAGGATTCCCAATGAGTCTAAAATAATAGTCACTGGCATTGTCCCCACCGGCTCCCTTCCGACACTGAGCTTCCGCAAGAAATCACTTGTAGTACGAGGGATGGTTCCCCTACCACCAAATACGTACCAATAAAATATGTCCCTTTCTATTCTATTAAAGCAGTACTCCTGTAGAGGGCAGTACCGGGAAAACCAATACCTTAAGGAAACTTCGCACGAAAATAATTCAAAACTTTGCATGTGAGTGAAATTTGATCTTTTTTTTTTTTTTATACACATTCGTAGTTCTGGCTTTAAACTAACTAAATATTAAAAATAAATTTTAATGATCAAATTAACCACCAATGCTGATTGGAGATTATGATGCAAAAAAATTCAATCTACAAAAATCTGGTGTGCACACAATTTTAACTTACAACCCTCTTCTTAGCAAAAATAAGTATTTTCCGACAAAGGAGAAGTTAAAATAAAAATTATAAATACTTTATTTATTTATATTTCATTGTGGGTATTTTTATTTGTATAAGTAACTTAATATAAACAAATTTTAATATTTATATCGCTGTAATCTATACAATTTAATATTAAATAACACCCAAAATAGCATTTATGAAAAATGCATATTTTAATCATTCGGACGAGCTCGGGTGCACTCGTATTCCTTTGGTTCCTCAATTACAACTATTCTCCATTACGATCTGTTATTTCTCCTTTAGTTAATTATTAAATTCTTTCATATTTTATATTAAAAATTAATGTGAAAGGATCAATTGTTTCAAATAAAAAAAAATTAAAGATACTTTGGGGGAAGCTAATATTAAAAAATTAGCCATTTAATCCTTTATAGAAAACATTTATCAGAATAAAAACTACATTTTATTTTAAATTGCTTAATATTACACTGACATCAGGTATTTTAATCAAAATCATTAGGGCCATTTTCGAGAAAATCGTAAAAATTTATTTATCTATTAGATATTAAGTGCCAGTCCTGGTAAGCCGATTTTGACGAAAAAGTTGTTGTAACATCCCTTGCATATAAAAAACTTAAATATGCAATTTCACTTCGCACGACTTTTCGTTTTTGAGCTAGACTGTTAACACACACACACCATTTTGCGGGACTTGGTTATTTAGACTCAGGAGACCTCAAAATGTGTATGTAAAACTGAGATTTGAAAATTTTAATGATCGCAATACTTTCCTTTACTATATATTTCATATATAGGTAAGTGAAAGTAAAAAAGTTGCAAGAAATTAAAAAAGACATTCAACCATGGACAAATTCATTCAGAAAGTCCAGTTCAGAGTTTAATAAATTTTAAAAGGGCTAAAAATTGGACACGCATCTTTCAGCCTAATTAGAGGCCTGGAACCACCTTGCAAACTATATTTACATTGCAACAACTTGCAGACTATACTCTGACACCAAAACAAAACACAACATACTTTTTACCACATCTGAAACACTAGCAGATAATGAAGAGAAAATATAAAGTGTAATTCAATACATAAAAGATGTTTATCTAATTTAAATCCATTAAATGCCCCTAATGACCTGTTCAGGTAGAAGTGGAATGTAAAAATAAATAAAAATATACCTGTGGCTGTGGGCATAGCAGGGTGTCCTAGGAGAATGTGATTCGCCCAACTGGCATCTGAGCTCAGAACCAAAGGTTCTCCTATCGCAACCTACACAAAAAGATTCAAGATAAAACACTATTCTATTTAATTTCTTATCTAGCATTCAAATTTATGCTTTTAAATAAAAGACTCTGAGATAAAGTATAAAGATAAAAAAGATTAAACAAGCCATAGAGATAAGGATAAATAAATTTTAGCTTGAATAACAAAGGGAAGACTTTAAATGAAAATAAATATATATAATAACAAGCACATAACCAATATATGTTATCAATAATAACCATTATTCATTATTCAATAAGGCACTATCATAATATTACTCTTTTACAATATAAAACAAAGTAAAGGATAGTGGTTGTTTAACTTAAACTAATTGAATCTTACATAAACAGAACTTTGATTTAATATTTAACAAATAAGCAAATTAATAATTTTACTTGTGTGAAATGGCATTATTCTGTATCTTCTTATAAAAGAAATTCTATTAGAGAAAAAATAAATAAGAATTTTCTATAAACATTGATTCAATAAGGCTGGACATAAGTTCTATTTTTGTTAACAGAGTGTTATGCTTTTATCACTAAACTGAAAATAAACTTCTGCTGTGTAAACAAAACATAAAAATAAATATTTTTGTAAATAAACACTCTCCTAGTATTACTTATCAGAACTATGAACTTACCAGAGGGGCATGGTTCCATTCTTAAGAGAGGCTATTTATTTTGATTTTTATAACTATATCGACCGACTATATAGACAGTTATCATTTAGTTGTACATCTTTTTTTTTATTAATTAACATTTCATAATAATATAACTTTTTCTTAACAAATTATTTAAAACTTATTGAAAAATTGTATTAATATCTTAAGTTAAAAAAATAAATAGATGGTAAAATAAAAAAACTGATGAATTATACAAACCGCATTGTTTACAAAAAACAAATTTCCTGGGTAGGCTATTGGTGGGCTACTAATTCTCTATGTATACATGGTGGAATGTATGGAACTAATACTATGAATACTACCCTACTGCCTGGCACATTCTGGATTAAAACAAGGATCAAGCATCATACATTATCAGTTTTATCCAACAAAATGTAAGTGATTTTTAAATATGTCCAACAATGATAACTAAACAAATCACGATAAACTTAAAACTGATTTTTTTTTTTTTTTTATTGAATAAAAGACTATCACTTAAAAGTTGTTTGTGTATGAAAATCAGTGGCCGAAACAAACTATCAACTTAATTCTAAAAATAAAACGCAATACTTTGATTTATTAAACAATAATTTTAAAACCTCTTTTTAAAGTTATTTTTAAATTATTTTTCTACAACCTCTAAACAAGAGTCTTACTTTAAAATTTAAACAGAGAAAGTTAAAAATATTCAACTATTTTTAAACATTAATTTGAAACAAATATAAAATTATTGAACAATGAAATAATTAAACTTATTTTCAAAATATACAGCACTTCTTTCAAAAAGTTGGAAGTTTAAGTTAAAAAATTAATATCGTTTTGGGTATTTAGAATCAAATAATAAATTGCAATAACCAGTAGCATACAGTGTTAGCAAAAAGATTAATATTAATTGTTGAGTCATGAATAGCACATGAACAAACAACACAAACAAATAACTTCAGCAAAACAGTAGAGAATACTTCCAATAAAGCTTGTATAATTTTAAATTTTTATTTATTTGAAAAAAATTTCTGCCTGCAGAAAACATTAAAATTGAGGAAAAACTTTTTAATAGAAAAGTAAGTTTTCATTATGATTATTTTTTTTGTTACATGAATTAACTGTTCCAAATTTTAGAAAATTAAACTCCCAATTATTAATTGATAAGATAGAATAGATTGATAGAAAAATAATTTTATTCTGGGACACAGTCCCTTGAGAATAACAAAATAGAACAAAATTAAAAGATCACATCTGGCCAAAATAAAATCAATCGAAAAAAAAAAAAAAAACTATTATAATTATAAGCACATAATTATATCCATAATTAATTTAATTGAATTAAAATGGAATTGGGTAACATACATAGGCACAGAAAAATCGTGTTTAGTCTATCTAAAAATTTTTTTAATAGTGTTGATAGAATCCCATTCATTGCAGCCCCTTAAAAATTAATTTCTACTATATCATACAAAGTCTACAGTAATAAATTAATTAATCACAACACAATAAGTCTAATGTATAACCTTTTTTATGTGTTTTCTTTTGACTTTTTCCTTGTCATTGTTGAACATAATTTTAAAAAAATGTTTATATATATTAGGGTGAACGCACCAGTTATGGACAGGGGGCCCAGTGATGGACAGGTTGGACTTTAAAAGTAAATAATAAGCTTTCTTGTTAATTTAAAGGTTCCAGTTTTTTCTAGATTGAAGAATGACCTCAATTGACAACTGTATGAAAGTTCCCAAAAGAAAATTTTAGAATGCCTATCATAGTTGTTTACACAGTGCTCTTTAGATCAGTGTGTTTCATATCTTCTTACTAACATTTTTGCTAAGAGTAAGTTGAGCATTTATAATATGTTATCTTTATAGTTAAATAAAGATTTTAGAATTTTTCTGAGGTATGTCCATTACTAGTACAATTGCATTTCGAGGTGTCTATTACTAGTGCAAAAAGGTTTTGTTTTTTTTAAATGGTGCTTTTACCTTCGTAACTGAATATTTTTTTTTATTTTAAGTTATTAAATAGAAAAAGGAGACCCTAGAGATTCTAATTGTTGAACGGAGAAGTTTATAACTATAATAATTACAGACAAAAATTTCCTTAGCTATGTCCATCACAGGTGTGCACATGTTTCAGTATCATTGGAATTGTCTATATTTTTTCAGTTATTTTGGAACTAAAAATTTTCTCCTTGTAACTTTTCAAGTAAAGGTTTCACAGAACTTTTGTTTTTTAAAACTTCAATTCATAGCTACTCAAACAAATGGCACATTAGAATCATATTTAATTCATTTAAGATAAATTATAACTTTAATCAAAGCCCAATTACGATTTATTTTTTATTTAAGAACTTGAATAAATAAAAGTTAAACTTTTACCATCAATCTGGAATTTATTGTTAAAGAGTTCCTTAAAACTTTTGTTTAAAGAACTTTATTTCTAAAAAGGTTTCACAGAAGCTTTTAAAATGAACTTTATAAAAAAGTTTCAACCGCTGCTAAATATAAATGTACAGAATGTCAAAAACACATTCCTATTCATTGCTTCCCCTAATACCATGGGTTTATAAGCTCATTACAAAAAAAAAATTATAATATAATTATTACTATTAATTAATACAAGTTTTCTTTAAATTGTCAATTCAATTAATATTAATTCAAAAATAAAAAATATTTCCTCACTTAGAGTATGCAGGACCAATTTTTAGTTCCTGAGGTATTTTAATCGATATGTTCCACAAAATTCATAATCGTAATCATTTAGTTTTCGACACTATTTTCCCTTTTTGCATCTACGACATCACTTTAAGATATTCTTTTGAATAAATACAAAATACAGGTCTGATTTATAGTTTGAGATATTTTAATTCATGTCCAAAAATATACCATATGTCGAATTTACCTGAATGAGCATTACACATCCGAGCGTGACAGTTCAATCTCATTCACTACTCACAAAATAAGTGCAATGCGCAAGAAGTTTTCAATTAAAAAAAAATATATTTTTTTTAACAGAATAGGTGAGCATTTTCATCCTCTGTCGCTGATCCTATCCGCCAGTTCTTTTTAATTCTATATAACTTCCATATTTAGACACAGTTTAGACACAACTTATCTTCTAGACAAAAGACATGGAACCCACAAATCAAACCAAAAAGACAAGACCTTAACCAACAACTTGGCCAGTTACATAGACTACTAAACAGAAAAACTCATCGTTCAACTGAAAACGAACTATTAGCCTAAAAGGTCATACTGAACTTATTCGGACCTACAGATTTCAACTATGAACATTTAAATTTCCAAATATCATTGTATTCAATCCTCCCAGTCTAAAGTACTTTGAACAATAATCAATGCTTCATATTACATCACGAACAAGACCTTGCACCTTAATCTCAACATTCCATTTGCTCTTGACATCATCCCATTCAGATTTTCTAACTTCCACCAAAATCTTGTTTATCATCCAAATCCTCTAGCTCAATCCCTATCCAGCTCCGATCATACTAATAATGCCCCTCAAAGGTTAAAATTGACAGTGGCCCAGTGTATGAGTGGCATCTGTAGCACCATCTCTCAGTCTCCACCAGAATCTAATACCAGTGATATGGCTGGAATCTCCTGGAGTACTGCTTTGCAATTCACATGTGGAGGACAAAGCTTGGTTGGTATGAATTTGTTTAAGAAATCTTAGTTTATTTTTATAGAACTTCAAATTTTCTTAATCTTTTGTAGCATTCTAATTTTGCTATTATAATTTATTCAACTTTATAATTTTATTTTTGAAAAGTATTTATTATTGTCCTTTTTTTTTTCTTATTCTTATTTGTCATTATTATTTTATTTATATGTTTTTAATTTAAATTATATATATAAATTGAATCAATGAATAATGTGACAGATTCTATTGCCATTTAATAAACTTGTTTTTAAAAAAAGATACCCTATAACCTGGGCAGAAATCTAAACAAATACATATAAAAATGTATTTTACTTGACCCTGACACTTTCTGTTGAAATATAAAGCTAAACATTATATGCATAATTATTAAATTGAGTTAAATAATACAACAATATTCCCTTAAATTATTTTCAAAGCCAATTGTTACTAATGTGTGAATATTACTTTAATACATTTTTTTAGCCTTATAAACAAGATCCCGCAGAATGAATTTTTTTTTTTTATTTTGCCTCTTTCTTCACAAATGATGCATGAAACTTTTATTCTGCATATGGTAATGTACAGTTCTGAGGGTTTGCCAATTGCCAAATCTGAAGAGCAAAAATCTGGGCAGAAGTTTCAGTGAAAATAGACTGAGGAATATGATTTTTAATTAATATTTTGGATTCTATTTATCTTTAAACACAATGAATCCAATTTTGAAGGAAGTCTTAATTTGTTTTCTTGGTCGATTGTAAAAGTACATTATTAAAAACAATAAACTAAAATCATAAATCAACAATACAAATTAATGAATAGAACTAATTAATGAAAAAAGAAGAAGAAAAACAATCAGTAAATAATAATATAATCACTTTAATTGCCTAACTGAAAGTACATATCTGTTTGGCTATATTCTCTAAGAAGCCTCTTTCATTCTTTGAACTATCGAAATTAGCTATCTCATTGGTGAATATATTAAAGTTGACAACTCCTGACGACTGTTTAATGAATTTCCAATCATACAAAATCTCTGACTGATAGGCACCTTGGTTAAATGCATTCTGGATTTGTTTATGGAATTTTTTGTAGAAATACAAAAAAAACACAGCCTCCAGATTCATCTGATATGGCCTTAGTGATTTGTTTCTCTTTCCTTAAAATAGAAAGAATCTTATAGGCCAATGTTTTTCGGTCAAAGATTAAAAGCTCATTGCTGGGAAAGCTAAAACCTATTCTAGAAATTGTGTCGGATAAGTGTTGTGGGGGCCTGAACAAAGCACTAGGCTAAGTTTATAATATCTAATGAAAAGTAATTTGAAGGTGATAACACAGTAAACAAAACTATGCTTTAAAAATGACAATTTCCATTACTTTATGAACACAGTAATGTTTCTGAGGAGTTTAGAGAACAATCACTTCTATATATTGAAGTGCTAAACCCTCCCTACATCCTGGAACTCCTTACTCTGCGCTCCTCTATCCACTCTCTCAATACAAGGTCTCAACCTATAGACTTATATATTCCCTCCCATAAAACTTCCTCCTTCAGCAAATCCTTCGTCATTCGTGCTGCTTCCTTATGGAACTCACTTCCTACCTCCATGCGTCAATCCTCATCCACAAATTCCTTCAAACAACTCTTGTTCCAACACCTACTCCACATTCAAACTTCCCCTAACATGTAAAATTACTTGCATCTATACAATGTTTAATTTCAATCCATTGCACAATTGAAATAACAATTAACAATAAATTAGTTGGTATTTTTACTATGTCAGACTAAGATACATAAATTTGTAACTCTGTAATTATTCTTAGGGGACAGTAGTCCCAGAATAAAATTATTTTTTCATTTCATTTCATATTTTCCAGAACATTTGATTAGTTTAGGGATTTCAAGTACAGGGCTAATGATGTAGAGGCTGTGTTGTTCAAAAGTGTTGAGGTGTCAGCTTAACAACCTAGAGCCTATCAGTATTACTGGGAATCCAGCTTCAACAGATTGAGATTTATTTAAAAGTAAACACACAGTATCAATCCTGAGCTTTCTACTCTGATAAGAAGAGGTTGGACACCTGTTGGATAACCCTCATTGTAGGCCAGAAACGGCCAGGTAGGGGAAAAAAAGAAAAACAAAAGATCGACAGACACATTGCAAAAGCATGTATGGACAATTTCTTTGGAATATGAATTTTTGAGCTTTTCTGGTCAATTTAGTCCTGGTGCATATCCTGATCTCACAAAATGAAATCTAAGATGTTTCAATTATTCTCTAAAGCCTTTTGTAAAAACCTGTAACTTAAAGCTAGAAAATCATGATGTAAAAAACTGTAAGTTACAGTGAAGGTTATAGAGATTGTGTCGTTACCGAGAAAACGTAATAAAATGTTTAATAAAGGATCTTCATATAGATATAGAATGAATAAAGCATTTTGCGCATAGACTACAGTATCAATTAGCTTTATTAATATGCTAAAATTAATTTTCTCATACGCTTTGTATTTTTTTTTTTAAATTTCTAATAAGTGGCAGGCATTTCCAGCCGGGAGCCTCTGGGAAAATTTCTCCTGCCCTGAGGCCGGTACTGCTTACCATGGAACTAGACAAAACAAAAGTGGGAATATAATATTGAACGGCGTTCAAAACAATTGAAAACTCCAGGCAACAGCAAAATGAGCTTGACTGCAAAAAAGCTACAATGCCACGGAATTCCAGATAGTGCGAGACATAGAATTTATTTCATTAATTGAAAAATTTAACACAAAATGAAAAAAAAACTAGTTTAATCTTTTCAAACCAATGAATCTTCGAAATTACAAGAAGCTCAGAAACGAAGTAATCTACACATCAGCAGGTTACCTAAAATTTACCAGGCTTTCGTGAATCAAACCATGTCCATATGAGCACGTTAAAAATAAAACTTTTATTGACTATTCTAAAATGGGGTAAATGCACTACGTTCAAGACAGTGGGATAAGTGAGTGAATAACCTGAGAGATCAAATATCCACTTTCCAACAAAGTGTTATACAAATTTACATTTGAAGAATCGTTTCTCAACATTTTGGCAACTCAATTTCTTCCTTTCATGATTTGAACATTATTAACAAAATTATGGATGTTACTACAGTCAATTTGATTGCTTTTACCTAACTAATAGCTGTTTTTCAAAGTAACTAAAAAGATATAAGTTAAAAGTAATGGCTCTAAAAGATTATATGGCAGAAATATGATAAAAAAAGTTACATAGAGCATTACACCTTTGCTTTAGGCCTTAAAAAAAATTAAGCCAAAAATATATCGCTCATAGAACAAAAATCACGCAGTTTTTTTTTCTCCTAACATTTTTAGTTTTTTTTCTTACAAGCTTTTGCAGTGTGGCTATTGATATGATCCATGTGATTTTGACACACCAGTCAACCTGATGTGTTCTTGTGAACCAATGCCTTATTGTTAAATAGAGGAGATAAAAAATCAAACAAAACATTCTATATCCAATACTTTCTACTCAGCATCTAAAATCGACAATGAACAAGAATAATCTAACCATCTCTTAAATGATTAAATTATCAACTCCAACAAATATGACATAATCACCAGCTAAACTTATATCATTAACAGATTCAATATTCATGTACAAATTTTATATAAGTAATAACTAACATACTAATTAGAATAACCTTTCTTTTAATTAATTTTTACATTAACAGTCAACAAACAATATTGTCATTGATTATATTATAACATCCATTGTAATATATAGATTTAGGCAAGGATATAGCTAAGTAAAATCAAAATTCACTAACAAGTTAGAATATATTTTTATTTTTCAACACCCATTATAAGAAATCAAAGAGGTAAGAAAAATTTACTGATATTAAAGATTTTATTGAATAATGAATTTAACCACATAATTGAGCGTTCAAGAACAAAAAAAATATTACAGAGAAACAGCAAAATCTTACGCTAAGTTTATCCTTGTAGTCCGATGCTCCCCAAAAATGAGTAGTTAGTTGGACATCACTCTCAAGTAGCACTTTCATTGGACTCCAGCATAGACTATAAACAGAAACAATTCAAATTTAGATTATTTAATGAGAACATTGTTGCATGTAGTGTTTTTATTTAAAAAAATATTTCAAAAATACCAATTATGTTTGAAAATCAAGTTAGTTCTATGATCCAGCAGGCTGAGCATGAAATCAAAATAAGATAACAGAACACCACTTACACAAATAATAGTATTTATCAAAACTAAATGATACACACCAAATACTATTGCTAAAAAGTACTTATATTATAGAATAATGAATGTATTTTAGAAGGATTTCAAAACTAACGATTACTGGAAGTAAGTTTATTAAAACATAAACATTAATTTTTTTATTTATTTTTTCACACTTAGTACAAAATACCCAATATAATACAAAGGCTATGTCATCTGATTTGAAAATATCATGGATGCCACAAATTTATCAGAAATAAAAAACATTTCTAAAACAGTGAACATCAAATTACTCCATTAATAGTGAAATCATCTTTCTTAATTTTACTCACTTGTAACAGGGCATATTGTTTTAAAAAATAAGAGTTGTCAAAAGAAAAGAAAACTGTATTAACTATTCAAAGATTACCTTCTGTCATATGGTAATTACTAATAATCAAACTTCTCAATAGAAAAACATTCCAACACAAAAGCTGTTACATGAAATGTAGTATGGAAATTAGTCACTAAATAAAATAAAAGTGACAAGTGAAATAAATTACTTTGGTTGAGTTTTAATACTTTAATTTTGATAATAACAGTATAAGTAAACACAATAACAAGAAACTGATGAGTCAGAAAAATAAAAGAAAAATTAAGCCAACTTCTCAAAATTAGTACAGGTTAGGATTAATAGTCGTAGCTTACCTTAAAATTAAATGAATCTCATTCGGTTTCTTTTGATATTTTCAACAAATATCAAAGAGTTAAAAGCACTAAATAGTTAAATAAAAATAATTAATAAAACACTAAAGAGAGTTCCAACTGAATCGGAACACTAATTTTTTTAACCAACAATAAAGAACAAATCACTACTAACAATTTTTATAACGATTACAATTAAAAATAAAAAACAAACACTGCACACTCAGCAAAGTTTTGTTATGTACTGAGTCACAGTGTACATGGGCAAGTCTCATTCACTTACAATCTACGTCACCATGCGAGGAAATCGATAGACGAAAACTCCACCTATTATAGAAAAGGCTTTGGTACAAATAGGTGTTATTTACCTGTTATAAAAATAAAGTTATTGATAAAATGTACTGGAGAAAAAACAATTTTAACAAAAACAAAATTTCAATTCTATTAAAATGACGAAACTAATCTAGGGAAGGTTCTAAACTGTTTAACATTTTCCTTAGTCAGTTATTAGAACAATATCGTATTCAAATTGCTAATTTAAAAAGGTCCATTAAAGAAAAAAAAAATATGTTGCAGCATACAGAAATGTTTAAAACAGTATTATGGGGCAGAAAACAAAATTTTAAATGCCCCTGGCAGGGGTTTCTAAAATCTTTGATTGATTTTTCACAAAAAAAATTATACATGTACTTTCCAATAATACTTAAAAATTGATTATTGAATCAGTTCTATTGGCTGAGAAGTAATATTAACGAACTTAAATTTGAATATTAAATATATATATTATTATTTCACGTTAATTTTGTTGGATTGCAGTAAAGATGGAGCTAAAATTTTCCTGTGAATATAAGGATTTTCACCAACATTTTACAGTTAATCAAATTTATTTTTCATCAACTGCACAAATACTCAATTATAAAATGACATAATGGTCTATAAAAGTCTGCCTATAAATGACTTTGAACTAATTAATCTTTAAATTGTTAAATTATAAAAAAATGTTTTCATAAAGATACTGCATTGTTATATTTCAAACCATTCACAGCAAACCACAGAGCATGTTTCTCAGTCATGGAGGAGAAAGATAGAAAGGATGTTTAGATGGCTGGAAATTTAGTCTAAAGCAATCCATTAGGAAGCCTCTGCAGGACATAAATGCCTCAATATCATGATATTATATTGAAGGCCTACAGTTAGATAGATCGAATCAACAAAGATACAATACAGTTGTATGCTAATAACTAGAAAAAAAAATAGGCCAAGATAGGAAGGGATGGAGAAGACTGGTTAGGTAGCAAAATATCTACAAGGTCTTTAATAACAATAGGAAAAATAAAATTGATGAAGAATTTTTAATAATGAACATCAAAATTTACATTGAAGATTCTTGTAGCTAGAAATTAAAAAACAATTCACCTTCACTAATTTAGACAAACTTATATCTTACATCCTATCATGTTAATTGTAATGCAGCTCCAAAGAAACATGTAAACAAACAAACAATATTTTTGTTTGTTGCTAATAAATTAGCTTTGAATTTATGTACAATTTCTTTACTTTTATTCATTTTGTTTTCTTTATTGTTAATCTTTTATACTGCTGGATGGAAGAGTTTTAAGATTGGGAGTAAATTTTAGAGAACCTAGGTTCTTAGACAATATTCAAGTAGAGTTTTATTTTGATCACTATTTTAATTTAACTTTTTCTGATTTATGTTTCATTCATAATAACCCCTTCATTGATATAGATTAAATTGCTATATAATCTTACCTTTAACTTCAATCACATCTCATAGCAGCATTCAATTTATTGTTAAACATGTCTATTATATTTATCTTATCCAGGACTTTCCTTCTTATCTTATCTTTAATCTTCCTAATCATCTTGACCTCATTCATAAATCTTTTTGCATTTTAATAAATAAAGTAACATAAAGCTATATACATATGTCGTATTCATTTTGACAAATATCTGTCAAACAAATCAGAATTTCCATTTATTTTGATTTTTTTTCTATTAATACACAAGCATTATTTTACATTTTATGCAAGTAAAAAAACAGAAATTATTTAGCTGTATTTTGTAGGAATGTTATAAATTGTTGTCTGCAGTTTTATCTGGATGATGGTTGGGAAGGAGGAGAGAAAGAGGTGTCATCGTATGTATACTCGGATTTCATGTATATACTTGTAAAACAGTACTGATGATCTGGAAAAGTAATTGTCTCAAAGTTATAATGATTTCCTTTCCCAAGATGATAAAGAGATTTGAAAATTTTAATAGTTGTTAAAAAATAGTTTTTAGTATTATTCCTTATTTAAATTAGTATTTTTTTTATATGGAAAACATAAATTCTACACACAGAAAAATAAAATAATAATTATTTTGTAACAATTTTATAATTTGTATTCACTAAATATTAAATTGTCAGCAAATACTGCCTATTTATCATTATAATACCAAGATTTCTCATTTACAAAATTATCATTTTTATAAATATATATTCGTAATATATAAATTTCACCTTTAAACCGTTTGGCAACATATCTGTGAAGATATTGGTTTCGAAATAATAGTAATAAGACTACTTGTACTAGTGGCAGGAACTAGCCTTGTGGTTCTTTTTTCTAACCCCAAATGACATTCTGATGGCTACCTAAGGATTGCCACCACTTACTACAAGAGTGGCAGTTTCAAGATTAATTTCTCTTTCTTCTAAAAATAAATATTAACTGACCAGGCGGAAATTGAATCAACAATATTCAATTCAACACACACTTCCCAATGTTCTCGGGTATCAAATCCTCAAGTAATAAGAATGACTAAATCCAGAAATTTGATGGCAATACCACTAAAGAACATTGCGCGCATACCTCCTTCCACCAAACTCCTTCAAAACTCAATCCTAAAAGATCAGATTTTACAAAATGCTTTCATTTTCATAAAGTTCTACTCCTTAGACATTTAAATGTTGGTTCACATTGATTTCAAAGTGATTCTTCTTTAATTTTGTTCACCAACTGTAACCTTTTTAATTACCTGATGTAAAAATTAAATTTACCAAATGTAAGAATCATAATTTTCTTCCCTCAAAATCAGCATCAAAATATGCTGGGACCTTTCAAGACCCAGGGGAAAAACAGGCACAAAAGTAAGACTCAAATATGGGAAAATACTTATGATGATTTCAGGAGAAAATCAGTGTCTAAACAGGCAGAGAAGATCTTGGTCACTATCCACAACAGAACTCCATACTACTCAGGGGCTAACATCCTTTCTGATTTGAATAAATCTGCATCGTAGTCAGAGACACGGTCAATATTAGGAGGTGATGTAATACTAAAAGAGACAGTGAAAGCTGTATTCGGTGGTGAAATCCTGCCACTCACGTTACCCAAACGCCTATCCTCTTGTACACATGGAGATTCGCCAACAATGCTATAGCATGCGGCAGCTTCTGAAAGACCCAAAAGACTCAGGATCTGATGGTAAAACCCTGATACACTTTCTGTATGGTATTCCCCCCTCCAAAACAGAAAACAATAATTCATATGAAATTACTGCAGATCTTTCTTCACCAATGCCCTGCGGAATGTGTTGTTCTATAGTAGTACATTAAAGGTAAGATTATTGTTATCACCAAGAGGCCAGTGTATCATAATCAGTCAGTATATGTATTGAAAACATGAGCTGCAGGATAAGGTACTGAACTGTGGATTACGGTGAGAGAAGGTAGTACAGAGAGAGGCCTGTAATTCCCACAACTATAGTGTCATATTCTTATTCATAACACCACAGGATTTATACAAAAGCATATGCGGATGATATTGCTATCCATTTGGGTGAGAAACATCAGAGTGTACTATCTATTTTTTTAAAATCATCTAAGGGAGTCTATGGGAACTGGTGTGGAGCTATCAATCCACAAAGTGTAATGGTGAAAATAAAACTATTTAAAATAAATGGGATCTAGCTAATTACAAGCAAGAAGGTTAAACGTTTGGCGGCCATAGTTACAGACTTCGAGGAGGGGGAGAGGAGGAACGAGGGGACGAGAATATAGTTTCGCTCCTCCCAATGTTTTGAAGAAAAAACATTTAAAAAAATTAAATCAAATCAATAGTGGCGTGGAGGCCGAAAGGGCTAATGCGTGTGCACATCTCCGCGTGTTACCAGCAAATCCAGATCAAAGACAATTTGATAAAAATGATTACGGGTTTACATCTCTGTGCCCGGGGAGGGTCTTTTAATCCTGACATTAATTCTCCGATGAATGCATAAAATGTATGAACTAAAATCAACTAAGAAAATATTAAAAGTCGACAAGATCGCTAAGCTAAGGCCTAGAAGTAGGTATGCAAATCTTTTACTTTGCCGGATATTTATATTATTGAAATTTTACTTTTATATTGTTATAAAATTTTATATTGTTATACATAGTAATATTATATTGTTAGTTTTACAACAATTATGTTAATTATTACTTATAATTTTTATACATATTACCCGAGACTTTTTGGGGGAGGGTCCATCGCTCTACCTTTCCAACCAGACACCAAGACGAGGGAATTTGTCAGAATATACATGGCAGAATGAATGCCTGTTATGGAGAGACCGTGCATATATTCCTGAACTTCTACGGTACCAGATTCTCACCGAGCTACACAAAGATCACCTAGACATATGTAAAACCAAAGCCATCGCGAGAACCTACGTTTGGTGTCCCGGAATCAACAAAAGAAATAGAGGAGATGGTCAAGTAGTGTATTCCAAGTCTAACCCACAAAGGACACATCTACATAAGTGGAGTACCCAAAAACACCCATGGATAGAATACATATGAATACATTGGGCCTATCAACGGTAAAGTGTCGGCCTTAGACCATCGGCGCCTGCGGGCGATGACGTCATCTCCCTCCTCAAAAAATTTAATTTATTTCTTAAGCTGTTCTATATTATTTAATATTTCATTATACATTATAGTAATGCAATTGCTTTATTGATAGACTAATATTAATTATTTTAATACGTTTAATACATATATTTTTAATTTCTAAGAAGTGGAGAGCGCTCCTTTGGTCGGTGCCCGGGACGATCGCCATGGTTACCCCACGTAAGGCCAGCATTGCAAGGATACATGCTTCTTGATTGTAGTAGATGTCTCTAATAAGTGAGTGGAATTGTATCCAGCAAAAACGATAACTTCAAAGGTCACAATATATATGCTTACCAGGTTTTTCTCTACCTTTGTTTTACCTCAAATTTTAGTGTCAGTGGGTCCTAGTTCACA